CGTCGATGCCGTGGGCCGGTGACCGTTATACAATTTAAAATCAGTTTGCATTGTTTACTATAGCTGTTTACAGTGTTCTAATCATTACAATTTACTTATTTTTTGCTTCCATTCTAGATAATTATGCTCAGTGTTTGATGTAAAATTGAAGTGATGACGAATAAACGAACCTTGGCTGGCGAAGATGTATCAGGAAGTGTACACATTTGTTGGAAGTGAAAAAAAATATTCAATGTAATGACAAAAATTGTAAAATGCTGTGGAATTTCTTTTGTAAATAGAAATATACTAGCAATTTTCTATTAATGGTTTATTCATGTGGGCAAAATATATGCCCGTAGAGTATCGCTACACTGAAAAGTAAGCAACCGACAGCTTGTATAAAAGGAGGGCTGTGATTGGCTGTTACTTACGCGAGATTTGAATGGAACTTACATTGGCGTCGGATCAGTTGTATATAGGGCGGAATTAAAAAAAAAACACAAAGTAAAAGTAAAAAGGCATTAATAACAAAAGTAATAAAAAGTAAAATAAGTTTATAGCCAAAATAAATTAAAGCCCGTACACTACATCAGATTGCGAATGGTATGACGTATCGGGAAAATGAGAATCAATCAACGTTCAACTGTGCAAATTATTTGTTTTTGTTTTAAGCTTAATTTTTCAGGACGAGATTGCTGCAAGTGTGTTCCTTCCCCATATGTTATTTCTATAAATATTCATTTCTTCCGGCTAATTCCTCAAAATCTACGCCCCCCCCCCTTACCGAATTTCTAAAGCCCAGGTGGATATAGGTGTCATTGGATATTTAATATTATTATGCATGGTTCAGTGCTATTCGAAATTTGATTTCGATTACTCTCGATTCTTGTGCGATGCGATTGGTCACGGATTACAATTGATTGTTACACACATCTTCATATGTTATTTCGTTCCAGAAAAATTCGTACTGTCAAGATTGTTACTTCAAATTGAAATCACAAATGTCTACATGTTTACATAATTGGAATATTGCAATTATTTGGCCCGCTTAAAAGATGATACTCCCGAAACTCGTACACCTATCGTTAGTGTACCCAGGGCGTCTCTCTTGATAAATGTTCTCCATTTTGTACCACCAAATATCCAGGATGGGTATTTTATAGCTGTGGCGTATCGTATCTAGTGGCAACCACAGGAACAGTTACATCGCATTCAATTGACACCGAGTTTATAAATGTGTTGAAGATTTGTAAATTAATATCCACAAGTAATCAAAAACGATTTTAGATTTTGGTGATTTCAACAATTTCCCAGGCGAAGATATAAACTATAAACATATTATAAATATATTAATATATAACTACTTTATTTGCCAAACTGGATTTTTATTCAATGATAACAATAACAATCAATTTTACAAAGCAACATACACAAATCCATAACAATGATTGATCAATTCAATGTCGAGTCAATCTTCGAACTGAACATCTTCTACAGGTCCTAATATAGCAATACCTTCTATTTCAATAAGTGCATCCTGCAAACATAAATAACGGTAAATCAACGGATGGCATTGACATGTCAAAGTTTTGATGGTCACTACTTAAAAATTTAATACGAGATAATTTGGAAACCCGCCAGACCAGAAAGTCAAAGATAATCATCAGAAACTTCATTGATTATGATGTGAATAATATGTAATTAATTATTAATTAATTATCTGATCAAGAATCGGACATTACATATTACAAATGAATGTGGGAATGTTATATAGACTTTAAGGGGGCACCAAACATTCATCAATTTGAATTATAACAGTTTTTTGTAAATTCTTAATTTCAGACACGTGGAATGAATGACATTGTGTAAAGGATTCGTAATACTATGTACCTTTGGCAATGCAGTTACTTGATATGCAGCACGTGTTGGGAAATTGCTCGGGAAAACTGAAATAAACAATTACATTTCAAATATGAGAAATTGAAGGTGGACATTGACCGACAACATTTATGAATTGCAAGTTTCAATCCTCTGTTGTGTTGTATTTGATATGTTCGTTTGTCTGTAAATAAATTAATATACATACTTTATACTTGCTTGTAATAACGGTTTAATCTTAAACAACGAAGTCTTACACTGATTTGAGAATGGGCTATAAGCACCTAAATAAAAGAAGAGACCCCAAATTCTCCCTAATTGTGAAGATGGTGAATGAATACAATATATTCGTTTTCGAATGTATGTTACATTCGAATGAAGTATTAATTTGAATATTATGCAATCCTGATTGAAAATGATTTCTGAATCAGAGCATTTTTTTGGCAACGAAAAGCGTACATAAAAAAAGGTTTTCCTAACGTTGTTTGGGTGGGGGTATTATAGCTGACACGATTCACTTATAATGGTTGACCATCTTTTAGTCTGTCCCAGTGTTACGTGACAATTCCCAATTTTTGAATATTACAATTA